TTTTGGTGGTGAAAAAGTGACGTTGTTGTCAGTTGCTGTGGCAACGAGTCTGTAGCTTGGCCAGCAGAGACAGCGAGAAAAAAAGTGGTTTTGAGTTTTTCTGGGTTATTTTTCCATTTGCTATGGTGCACTGAACTAAAATAACAAAACATACATGTCCGGTTAATGGGATGGTCCAGTTAGTGAAAGGGATTGTGCACATGCACAAATTTCAGGATGTAAACAATAACATGCCAGGGGTTCATAAGTGAAATAATCTGTCAATGACAAATTGTCATTGACAATCAATATCAAGGAATTATCAACTGAAAAGAAGCTCCTATATTTTGCTGAAAAGTTATTTGTAAGTTAGTTTGTCTTATTTCAAGTGTACTAACATATTAGCACTCAAATCAAGACTAAATGTATTTTGTAAGATTTTGTGTTTTTGTAGTGCGTTGGCCATTGCTGTGACAAGTTACTATTCCCTCATACTATACATAATATTAGCAGCAAAGAATAGTTTAGTTTAACAGGGATTAAGAAAATAGCAGGAAGAGGTTCATAAAATGCCTCCACTTAAATGGTATAGAAAAAATATTGTCCAAGAATACAATCCTACTGTTGTTGATCACAAATTTATGGAATACAATCATATAGAAAGAATGAAAAATTTTACACTTTTTTCTACTTTAATTTGGGTCTCAACTGCTTCTAAAAACAGCATAAGTCCCAAAACAAAAAACAAAACCAGACAATTTTGGCAGTAACTTCAGTATTTTTTGGTGTCTGGAAAATGAACCGTTTCAGAATCCTCTGGAATGTGACATCACTGACCTATCCTACAGCCCGTTACCCAGCAACCCCAGCAGAGTTCTGCCCGTTACCCAGCAACCCCTCCAGAGTTCTGCCCGTTACCCAGCAACCCCAGCAGAGTTCTGCCCGTTACCCAGCAACCCGAGTTAAGCTCCAAAACATTTGGTCAGCTGGTTTTTCCTCTCTATGTGTTGTACAATGGCTACTGGAAAAGACAAAGTGTTTTGTTGTTATTTGTAAGTTAGTTTGTCTTATTTCAAGTGTACAAAACACATAATTTATGATTTAGTTCTCATATCATTTGGAATTTATTCCAATTATTTTGACTTTATTTATTTTTCTTAGCATGGCTCTAGTACTTGTAGAAATTGGTTACTACCCAGCTTTCCATTTTGCATCCCGGATCTCGTTTTGGTTCCCACTCCACATTATGTTCTGATTACATCCATTTGTCCATCATTTCTCCCCGTGAACCTTTGTGTCCAACATGTGAGTTAATTTCGGCTCCTGGATAGCGATCTGCCAACCTCGGGGCAGCCAAAACGCCGACAAGCTTCGCTATCAAAACAATCGCGGTCTGAAGGAGGTTATCGTTGCTCGGCTCTATCTGTCACGCGGCCACCGGCAACCAGTGGGACACAAGGGCCATTTAATTAGGCCCACTGCTCCTCTCTGGTGTGAAAGACTCTCAGGCCCCTTTGATTCCCCGCTGCTCTCCCAGCAGGAAGTGGTTGGTGATAATTGACACAGGATTTCCTTGTTAACCAGCGGCAGACTCTGTGGATTAAAGTGACAGAGATCTCCAGAAGAAAGTGGGGAGCAGATAAAGGCGGAGGGTGGAGGGAGCGGCGGGGGCAGCAGCTATTTACTGCTCTTGACAAACCAGGGAGGAAATAGCAATATCAGAGTGGCGCGCGGTCCTGCCGCGAGATGTAGCTCCCACTTATCTTAGCCATTTCAGCTTGGCTGATCAAAGATTGGCTTCCCTTAAAATAACCTGGGCCCAAGGTTGACTACATGCTTCACGTCCCCTCCATAGCTCCGTTTGTGGACGACCACAGAGACATAATCTCATTTCATTTGCACAATTATACACTATCATGGAATAAAAGCATATTTGCAAATGACGTAATATTGTACCAAGTGGGTCACAGAATTTCCATGCAGACGGGAGAGAGAGCTTTCTCTTCATTTATTTCTAGATTTCTTTCTTATCTGGCTACTACGCAGCTTACCAACAGACATTTTACAAATGCACCGCGGAAGGTTTTAGCAGAGCTTTCAGTGTAGATAAAAAACGCTCTCCTCACTTTCTACAACTTCTGCTGCCATAAATTAGGCCAATCTCTGGCCCATTGTTGCTCGAATGAACTTCAATTACTCAACGTATCCATGCACCTGACAAACACCACAGACTGCCCACAGTGACCCAAACGTGGCATAAATAGCGGTCCGGTCACAAACCGATGTGCTCGCTGATAACAGGATGAAGTGATGGCAAATTTCCAGCGGCAGAACTTGGGTCAAAAGCAGGTCCAACGAATAAATCACAGCAGGAATTCCTGTGTCTCCAATCCCCCTGCTGACATACGCAGCTGTGGAGACGCAGGAGGGAAAGAGGCGGTTGCTTTATCATGACATGAGTTAGGTGACCACGGCATCGCTTTAGCTTACTTTATAAAATGTAGAGTGGTTCCGATTTTAAGCTGCATTATTGGCATAGAGTTGGAAATACAAGAAGTTTAATTACCATCAGGCAAGGTTTATAAGGAAGAGGGTTAGGACCGCTGCAAAAATCAAAACGACAAAAAAATAATTCTGACTTTCACCTCAGAATTCTTTTTATTTTTTTAGAATTTAGACTGTTCTCAGAATCGGGGTTATTTTTAAATCTAACGTTCTCAGTTTTGAGGGAGGTTTTTAAATTCTGACTTTTTTCTAGAATTGTCCTTTTTCTCAAAATGTCCAGGTTTTTTTTCCTTTCTGACTTTTTTCTCAGAGTTTAGGTTTTCTTTTATGTTCTGACTTTGTTCTCAGAATTCAGTTTTTTATTTACTTTTGAGATCTGAAGATTAAAGACAGAATAAAAAAACTCAGATTTTAATAAAAAAAAGTTTATTCTGAGAAGAAAAAGACATAACAATATTAGCAATTGTGTAATGTATGATATCTCCAAAAACATGCAATTAAAGTGTTTAAAGGGACAACAATCGCTGGGAGCAGATATGACTGGACAATAAATCATTAACAATATGAAACACGACACACATGATCTCTCTCTCTTTCTCTCTCTCTCTCTCTCTATATATATATATATATATATATATATATATATGTGTGTGTGTAGCTATAGAGAAAGAGAGAGAGAGAAATATCATCTGAATGAATTGTCAATATGTAGGATACTCACTCTTTGGTTGCCTAGCAACTTACTCTTTGGTTACCTGGCAACGATCTGATGAGGAACAGCAGCAGTTTCAAGTTTTGTTCAAGTTTTGCCACTGTGGCTCCTAAAAGTAAAAAAAAAAAAAAAAACTGTGGAATGAAAACCGGATAAAACCGGAAAGATCACACCACCAGTTTGGCAGGATTTCAGATATTTAAGACAAAAAAAAACCAAATAATAATTACCTAAACCAGCTGATATAAAACTCATATATATTTGAGCCTAGTTGTATAATTTTGAAATTATGATTACAGACTTGAATAAATTGAAATTTCTATGTCCAATTCCACCTATAAGTTTTAATACCCACTTAATCCTGTGAAGGCCTTGCAGTTTTCTTAGTGTTTTTCTACTTTCATGACCAAAACTGAGAAGTTTTATCCAGACTTCTTTCCATTGAGGTGCCTTTTATTTTGCCAGAAGAGAGTTTAGCTCTGCTTCACAATGGGGCAAAGTGTGGCCATGAGTTACGCCAACTTTAAAGTGTTTAGATGCAATATTACCCAAACATGCTTCCCAGAAACTTCGCATCACTGTCCACACCTTCTTATCTGCGCTGCCTCACAGGTACAGTATCTTAACCATGCTGTAAGGCTTCAATATGTCTGCATTAACACGCTTCAAGGTCCTTGATTTTTCCTCAGGAATTACTGTGTGGCAACCAGAAGGAGAAGCTGGAGATTTGTTCCCTCCAGTCTAAAATAAATAGGATAGACGGGGGAAGCAATCACATAGCCGACAACATGCTCTGCTATCAAGAAAATACAGCAGTTTAGATTAAGATTTAAACAAAATCATTTCTGTTTAATTTAATCTGTAAGCAGATAAGCTTCTACCAACATCCCACGAAGATTTTGGAGTGATAAGGAAACATCAAAATGAAGAAAGTGTTGAACATGTCTGTCGCTATTTTAAAAAATAAAATAAAACCATGTTTGGAAATCGTTTCATAAATGAAGGAGCTTAAGTGATACAGAAAGCTGTCAGCGTGATGTTGTCCAAACTTTTAGTCAAAACTAGTTAAATTAAATTTCTCATAGGCAAAAAAATTTGTAAAATTTGTCATGTAAAAATTAGTTTGTAATTTTTTATTTTTTAGTTCCACCTGGTCGATAATAAACTTTTTATGAAATGTATAAATTTTTAAAGATCCAGATCATAAAAAAGGATTCAGATGGTTTTCTTATTATCATAAAATATCAAAATGTTGCTGTTATCAGTTGATCATGACTGGACTTATAGTTGGGTCCGATTAAAATCATTCACGGGCGATAAGCAGCCCCCGGGCCACACTTTGGACAACCCTGTTCTAAACAGAAGATCTGGTGAACAGAACCACAACCAGCTTTATTCACCAGTTTGTGCCCAAAAACAAGAAATTTCACTTTGGTTTCCTGTCAATGAAAACATTTTAAATGTGAGAGGAAATAAAAGTAAAAGTTAGTTGTAAATATGTGTATTATAAGGGTGTCCACAGTGTGGCTTGGGGGCCATTTGTGGACCTTGAAGTGATTTTGTGCGGCCCTCAACCACAAAAATTAAACAAAAAAACAAAACCTTCTAGGTCTTATGTTTCAGATCTACAATCGTTTGCAGCTCTTCTAGATACTTAAACTATCCTCACTTTGGACACCTCTGCTCATTGTTTGTTTTTGCTGATAGCATCATTATTAGAAATCAGAAAATTGATTTGCTGTCATTTTCACCTTGTGGAAAGAAGGAAAAATAAAAATGTGAACTTTTTATATATTTTCTCCAGCATTTTGAGGAAATCCCGGAGAGGAAGTGAGCTGCAGGGAGGAGAAAGCCGTGACCTCTCCCGGCCGCACCACCTTGGCCCAAGGATTAAGAAAACAGCGGCCACTGACAAACGTCCAGGAAATCAGAACCACATGCTGGAAGGGAGGCAGGCTGAGGTGATTATTTGTTTTCTGCTAAATTAATGGAGGCTAATTGATAATGTCATTACATCAGGAGGAGAGCGGGGGGAAAAATCAAGGAATGCTGCCTATCAATCCTCACAGATGCTGCTGGCTTTTCCCTGGAGATACAGATCTGTTCATCTAACCAGAACCAGACTGCCTAGCTGGTTCTGAAACCAAATTTAAACGCCAAAGGAAAATCTAGTAAATAAAACAATCTGAAATCAGGGATTCATTTCGAATTCATCCTGGAGTTTTACGTCTCGTTGAACCGGAAACCAGAGAACTGAATGAAAAAAGAACATTTAACATGACAAAAACACAAAATCTTACAAAGTATATTTAGTTTCCACTGCAAGTTTCTCAGTACACTTGAAATAAAACAAGACTAGCTTGCAAGTAAGTTTTCAGCAACATAAAGGAGCTTGTTTTTTGAGTTATTGTTTTAAACGAATAACAAAATAAAGTTGTACTTCTACAGGCAGACTGTGCTGTTACCTAGCAACGCCCGCGGAGCCCGGCCCGTCGCCTAGCAACCCAGGACTAGTTTTAACCGCCAGAATATTTAATTTGTAACAAGATATTTTTCCCATGTTATAGTCAAATAATTTGCCATTGGTTCTTATTTATTTTTTATAAATCATGATTCACTCTGCAGTCCTAAATCTCACCCAGTATTTTTGCAGCGTATATTTACTGTACATATCTTAGTAAGCTTGAAAGAAAACAATTTCGACTTATCAAGAACATTTTAGCAAGAAATATGAGCTTGAGTATTGACAAAAAAGTGGGAAAAATGCATTAATAATCTGTCAGTGGAGCTGGTTCTTTTTTCATTCAAACAAGCTCCTATATTTTGCTGAAAAGTTTCTTGTAAGCTAGTTTTTCCGTATTTCCTGTGTGCTAAGACATTTGCGTCACAAACTAGATCAGAAATACTTTTTCCCTGTTTACAGTGAAACCATTAGAAATGCTTTGCGGCGAGGAACATTTTCAAATTTGTAGCGTGAAAAAAGGCTCAGAAATGAGTTGATTTGCTCCACATGGCCAATAATTCAGCAGTGGACAAGACAAAAGGTCAGTATCTGCTTAAAATCTTCACCACTTGGAGTATTTTAGATCTGCAGAGCCGCAGCAGCTGTGGGAGAGAAGATGGTGGCTGCGCCGGTGATTTAGGAGACAGCGAGGGGCTTTAAAGGAGGAAAACAAGTTCATTACACTTCCATACTTGCTTATCACTCCCCAAAGACCTGTCAGCAAAGGCAGAGGAGAAATTAGCTTTCCCCAAACCCCCAAAAAAGAAGTTATTAGGCAAACCCCCAGGGTGGACATGTCGTTTGCAATTCTTACCCCAAGACCTTTGACCTCAAACTCTCTGGGGTCACTACTTCCTTTCAAACAGTTTGTGTTGCTCTATTGCTCACCAAACCCAAGTTTAGTGCGCTTCCTCTGGAATAGCATAAGCCGGTTTGGTGCGTGTATCTGTGTAGGTTGCAGGGGTGGCGTGATGGCGAATGATTACAAATGTCTCCGTTCTAGTTTAATTGGATCAGGCTGACTCACAGCTTATGGAACAAGATCTCGGTTGTTTCAAAGCAGATGGATTAACAATTAAATTTGTTTGCTAATTCCGTGGCATACACCTTGAACAGAAAATAAGACGCATTAACTTGAATAAATTACGCTCTACCCACAGGGAATATAATTAGGAGAATTCCTTCTCATAGCCTCCCAAAACACTTTGTTTGACTTTTCATCTTGTAAATGTGGGAAATCATTTAAGAGTGAGACTCATCTTATTCTCTTTCTTTTTATTTTTTGAGCATTGTGAGTCATAGTTGCTGCTTGCTTTGCACTAATAGATTTTACAGCGTTCGGTCTGAAAGATCAGCTTCCTGTAAAGTAGAACAAATATTGATTTCCATTCAAATCAAAGGTGTTCAGCGCCTCCACATTTTCTCAAGTTACTGTCACAAACCTAGATTTTTTACCCTGTTAAGAGTAAAATGTACAGTAGTAAAAAGTATATTTCTTTCAAAAATATGACTCAAGTAAATGTAATTGAGTAAATGTAACTAATTATTAAACCACTCTGCATTTCAGAGGAAAAGAAATCACTAAAATAGGAATTGCCAGGTCACGATCTTTAAAGATTGGTAGTGGTGGATCGGCCAGAAAACTGCAATCGGTACACCGCAAAGATTATTATTATTGATACCAAAATATGGCGCCTGTAACTCATAATAGTTGGATAAAACATTCATGTATTTTAGGACTTTTCACAGTTTTACCGACGTTAACATGTTACAAATGTTTAATTTATCGTTAAGTCAGAGTGACACAAACCTGTCATGATTACTTTTGTTCTGCTTTTTATTTTTCCCAGCTGATTGTTGCTCATATTGACAGAAACCAAGGCGATCGGCTGCCGTGGTTCTGAAGAACCGCTCACATTAACGTCAGCCGGCAGCTCATTAAAGCGGCGCGGCCTCGGCCTGAAACTCAGCGGCTCCGCAGAGCCAGCCCCCCCCAGCTCAATAAGGCCAAACCTGCAGCGAGGATATTAGTCTGACAGCAGAAGATAATTTGTCAAAACCTTATTTTAAAGCTCTATGAATGTCATCCTGTGTTGTGGCTCTTAATTGAAATGTAGTTTGCCAAGCAGGAAAATATATGAGTGCACATGGAGGGTGTTGGCAGAATGTTTTATGGGGACGCTAACCACACCTGGTTAGCGTTAGCATCCTCCTTACTGTGTACTTTGCATACCTTTGTGTCACTTTTACCTTAAATTACCCTGCAACGTTTTTCTTTTATTCATGAGAATCTGAGATTTTCTGATAAATCTTAAAGTCAGAGCAGAGATAACCATTAGCTTTACAGTGATATGTTATTTTCCAAAGGTTGAGATTTATATTAGTTTACCCTCCAATCTTCAATCTTCCCCGGTTATGAACCTCGCCGCCCCTCCCCCACTGGTTCCTGAACCCACTTGTATGTTCTCGGCCTTCATAATAAACCAACATCTGCAGAACTTACAAGTGCTTTAGCTGCAGTTAATTGAGTAAATTGAAGCAAGCTGCAGCGCGGCGCTGATCTATGATCCCCCGTTGAGGGCCCAGAAGGGAGACAACAGATTTACTGCGAGGACAGTGGGCGGCCTTTTGTTCAGGCCTTGGTTCATGGGAAGTTTGAGGTCAGACGGGATTAAAATATTTTAGAGAACAAATGGAGCAATTTGAGTGCAATATTAGAAGCTCTCTGCCAGTTCTTACCGGGAATCCAGGTGTGATTTATTTAATTTTAAGCTCCGTGTCCTTTTTTTCGCCCTGGTTTTTTTACCTTTATCTTGATATTTTGGGTTTAGTTTTTAAATTGTTAATTAGTTCTTTTAAGTTTTAGCTCTTATGGTTCAGGAAATTTATAGCTTCAGTTTGTAACTCTTCTAAAAGAAAAATTTGGGATTTTTTTAACATATTTTTTAAGACCGTCATCATATTGTGACAGTTTAATATGAGGCAGATAATGTGTGAAAGATTGTTCTCCTCCAAGAGATACAGCCGTCTGAATAAATGCCACAAAAACAACCAATCAGACCCAGCAGGCTTGGCTTAACGCTGTCATTTAACCTTATGTACGCGCTGCTAAATATGCTAATGCCCAAAAAATGGCGTACCGCCGTTTGTCAACATTGCTAACCAGCCTAGCATTCATGACAGGCTATGCTGGCTGCAGCGTAGCAGAGAGCTACGCGGAGGGTGATTGACAGCGCTAAGACCCGCCTCTTGGCTCTGATTGTCTCACAGATTATCTGTCACATATCAGAGTTTCACAACATACTTACATTTTCAAGAAATGTGTAAAACATATTTTTATGAGAGTTACTTACTGATACTTTATTGATTAAACATGATTAAATTGTTCTGAGAAAAGTTTAAAAAAATGAAATGGCTGCAAAACATAATAACATTTCAGGTATCACCAATACTATTTCCAGTGCCGATACTTTTTGCTTGAAATATTATCCTCCTACATTTCACTCTCAAATTAAATGCAAACATGGTTATGGCAGCATGATCCTGTGGGAATAATTTTTAAAAATATTTCTCATTCATTGAGATTTATATGTGGAAGATGGTTAAGTTGAATTTAGCAAAAACTAAAGGTGTTGCAGGTACCAACAGTGGCCCCTGTACCACGGTTTGAGAACCGTGATCTTAATAAATAATAAACCTCTCCAGATGAGCTTTCTGCTGTAATGTGAAGCAGTTCATCACCAGAGTTAACTAATAAACAGAAAACTTTATCCATGCAGTCATTCACTTCAGAGCTTCTCCTGATTAATTCCAACATTCAGTATTTCCATCTCCCTAAACCCAGATAAGAAATGCACAAAAAAGGCCAACAGATTTAATCTAATACATAATAATCACATTAGAGTGGTGACAGAATTACTCTAATTGCCTCTACACTCTCCCTTGGACGCATACAGCATCACACACTCAGAGCCCCATCTGTCTAATGAGGACATTTACAAGCAAAAATAAAACCATATGCTATTATCACCGAAGATGATTAAAAATTAAGACAATTTTGGCTCCGGATCCAAGTCAAATTTTCCACCGGAGCTTTGTTGGCGTTCGTTGTTTGCCAGTAAATTTGCTCACGATTGGACGCGAACGATAATTAGCCGTGTTTGTATCAAAGAGCTGTCAGCCTCAGAAACCTTTCACAGCCAAACGGGGCCAACGGCTGACACCATCATTCAGGAGCAGAGAGGGACTGCAAGAGGCGTTCACAGTGGGAAGGGAAAGGGAGTGACACACGCAGAGCGGAGAGGGAGGAATACTGGGCCAAACTCGTTTTCCGCTTGACGGGTTAGCTGCAGAGAATGCGCCTTTACTAGGTAAATGATTGGAGGGAGTGGGAGGGGGACCTGCGCTGCTCTGCTATTATGTACTTCAAAGGTCTCCAATGGCAGGTTAAATGAAAAG